AATCTTGTTGTTTTAGTGTATCATTCAGACTAGGTTTTTCAACGTTGTACTGGTAAAAAAACCTAATGTTCTACTTAAAATAAATTATGCAGAAATCAGTTTGATGGGACTTTTGTCGCTTTCATTGTAGACAATATGATCAGTATATAATTGAATTTTAGATTTTTCCCGTCGATTGATTGGACCGAAGTGCTCGGTCTCATGTTGACATCTCGGCTTCTTCAGCAGATGCTTCGACGATGTCTGGGCATTTAATTAGTATTTAATTGGTGGATGGTGACTAGCAGTGGAATCCAGGATGTGCATTTCGTCCTATTGGGAACTCGTCATCTGGATGTACCTGCATTTCTCAGTGAGTGATGATGTTCCCACCGAGGCTCGAACCCAGTGCCCATAGTTTCCAACGCCAAAGCGTTATCCACTATACCACTTGGGCCACGAGAGCCACCTCTTGTGCAACGGGTCATATTGATTTAATTGAATTTTAGATTTTTTTCAGATTTTTCTCGTCGATTGACTGGGTTCGAGCCTCGGTGGGAACATCATCACTCACTGAGAAATGCAGGTACATCCAGATGACGAGTCCCAAATAGGGCGAAATGCGCATCCTGGATTCCACTGCTAGTCACCATCCACCAATTAAATATGATCAGTAGTCCAGCATAGCTTTTCCCTTCTGACAGTTGTAAAAAATGTATACATATGTATACAAACGGATGACAAATAAAAGTGTTTTGTTAAAGAGAGAGATAATACAACTATCCTATACATAAGATCTTCTAAAATTATCTATCGAAATGTTTAACTACTTATGAGTAGGACTGATTAAACGAAGAAATTTATCTTCCTAATAAGGTTACCGTCTTTTTTAATATTTGATTTTGATTTTGATTTACAGCTTGATTCCACACCGTATTTTCAGTACAAGTATGGAACTTTCAGCATGGATATCGGTAGCCCAAATTCAGGCCAACCATAGATATCGGGTGTGCGCCGGCAGGGGATCGAACCGCGGACCATGTGCATGGTCGGCGAGAGTCCTAACCACTGTGCCACCGACGCACAGATGCATAGATTCCTGTAATTAATATCAAAATGCTTTGAATAAGTCAAACTGCAAAATAATCATGATTTCATTAATTAAAGTTTAGGTCAGCTTTATTGTTTTCCCCGTTGATTGGTCGAACTGGAATGTTCCGATTCTACTGATATTTCTTCTCCTGGTACGGGCTCTTCGACTACGTTTGAAGATTGACAGTGGAGATATTTGGTGAACGGTTACTAGCAATGAAATCCAGGATGGGCACTTCGTCCTATATGAGGCTTATCAGATCAATGCACCTGTGAGTAACTGTGTCCCTGTTGAAACTCGAACTCAGTACCCTTCATTTTGAAGACCATCAATCACTGGAGATTAGAGGCATATCCAGTGACCAGTCCCAAGTGGGATGAAATGCGCATTCTGGATTCCACTGCCGGTTATCACTCACCAAATAACAATAGTGATAAGAAGTTCAGAGTAACAATTGAAAGGATGTAAAACAGGTTATAAATTGTCAAGTTTCGTAAGAGTTAGTAGTATGAGTGATATGACTCATCGACCACCAGAAGTCTCCAACCACTAAAACATATGGTGTTAGAAAATTAAACAGACTAAAGGACGTCTACTCATAGAAAGGAGAGTAGTTATAGAGTGAAACTGGAAGTTACATTATTTTGACGACCTGATTAACAGGAGTGGTTGGACATAATGCTTTTGAATAAAAGGGTTCGTTTCACAAAGATGGTTGGTAACCACTGCGACATATGGAAAAAATGAGTGTTTAATTGATGCGGCAGGTTAACTTGTATGCAATATAAAGTTTTGAATGTTTTTCTAGTGTTTATCGTTAACCTGGTCCGCAAATACAGAACTCTTTAATATTTCAATCCATCTTTTATTGAGCCATGATTTGTCATGTTCGAAAATTCGATGACAGGACTGCTATACTGTATGTCTTGTGACACTCGAATGAACTCCTTCAGAACTGTACTCTTGTCTAAATTAATCTCATTTTAGACATCTACAGAGTTATTAATAGTATAACAAAAAGGAAATCCAGTCGACCCTAAAGTTTGACCAGATGAAACCAAGTGGTTATTCAATACTTACTTCAATGGGCTACTGTGAAAATTTTTTCGACGAAAATTCGCATTCATCCAGCTTGCCATAAGTTCATTCAAGGTTGACACAGCAATATCTATTTTTACACTGTGCCCCATCAGCTCACAGTAAGTAAATTTCACTATTTCCGTAAAAAAAACCTTAATAAGCGAAAATAAAGCACTGCATTATATCAGCCCTTTCAAAGAATTCAAAGTTGTTTTACGACTTGGGTTTATTTTTTTTATATTCGGTGATAATAACACAGTTAGGCATATTTAGGCAAACTAAAAGATCCACACCATAATATATGACTGGTGAAATATATAAAACATATCAAGGAAGATATCAGACGTACCTCGAAGCATATGCTACCAACTAACCCGATTACCTGGAAGTTATCCACTCCAACTGATGAACCTTAGTAGTCACATAAAGTTGATATAAGTGTTGAACATCCACTCTAATCATTTGAAGAGTGTGTTGGTATACGTTAAATCAGGAAATCTGAGTGTGCTGCATGCGAGAAGGCAATTTCGCTGTCAACAGTCCACATAAATGATGTAGTCAGATTAGTTTTTATAGCAAGAGGCTATTTTGGGAAGTAAGGCTTTCGCATTTAGATACCAAACAAATCATACTTATGTCTTACTTGCGTCGACTAGGATAAGAATTTTAGAGGCTATTGGATTATGGAATGATACATAACCAAGGTCTTAACCTCAAAAAACATTCTTGAGAAGGCTATTTATTTCGGCTGAAGTTACACAGACACTATTTTGAATGAAAATAGTCTTTTTGTTTAGGAATAAGTTCTTAACAGCTTGATATGATGTCATTTTAGCTTCAAATGGTGAAGAAATCCAGTCACTTAACTTAAGACAATGTTTAATCAAATGTTATCACATGATATTTAACGGCAATTTATTCCTCATTGGAATATTCTGTTCATAACACGAGCAAAATCACAATACGTGTAACAATTTTTCGTTTAATAACCCAAAATGTTTGATACTCTATATTGGAATGGCACAACATAAATGCCTACTCTAGTAATCTTTTTCATACGGATCTTTGTTGCAACTCTTTTAGACAGTCCGATTTTGGAAGAAAAAAATGAATATGATTTGGTTATGATGAAAATCGAAATGGAAACCTTGGTGACAACGTCATATGATACCAATATTTCTAAAACTGGTACAAGTTATATTGATTTACTTGCTGGATGCTCTACGTCTGCAAAAATAAAACAATTAGAGGACGCAAAAGACACGAATATAGAAGATAAGGTGGAAACCCATTTTAAGCCATTGGAGAAGCTACATTTCGAAATCAAGACTTGTGGTACTTTCGATAAATCTTTACTAGGCTTTTAGGGAGACCCATTAATTAGACACAAGAAATCTCCAATAACAGTGACTAGCTTGGATAAATATTAGGTATTTTAAAAGAGTTCTTGTATACTTAACGTTATTCTTCTTTAAGGTACAGAATATCTTGTAAATTGTCCCAGAAACCAGTACATCTTTCTTCAAAATAATCGTTCACGAATGTCAAAACACTGAAATCCGTTTGTCTATCTGATGTTTGCCTTAAATTACTAGGTCATCTGGTGAATAGTTTGTTGTACTTCTATGCTAAAGCCAGTAGTTTTGGATAGCTAAATGACTAACTTGATATTCACATTACCTATACTTGTTTTTCGAGGTTTTCTATTTCTTTTAAATGTGAACATGTAGACAAAGTTAAAAAGGGTTGTTTCGTTTTGTTAGACTACTGTTCGGTAGGAGGTGGAAAGTAGTAGGTAGAGCATCACCATTCATTAACAAAATACATTCAACTATATACACTGTTTTCTAGATAGGAAAATATTATTTTATAAACTTCTTACTAATAATTCAGACATGTACTGCCTTTGTACATTTCAGACTTCATTTTTATCTAATTAGGCATTTATTTTGAAGTGTCACTGTGACTCAGAAAGCCAGTGAAAACCGCCAAGTACAATGAACTATAATGGCATTCACTGAAGCTGTTTAATCAACGTATTTTTAAAGTTGCCTCTTGACGATTGTGGTTGGTATTATCTACAGCCAAAAATGTCGTCATATATTAAGTGGCTGATATGCCATATACAACGAACGATAAATCTAAGATTTTATATTAAATCAAGGGGACTTTATGAATTTTCACCACCTACCTTCATGGGTGACAAGATCCCTCAGTGGTACTGCCCGATTCGGCGAACTAATTAAACTTAAACAATCCTAAATTGTGAAAACCCAGAGACTTTGATGATCATAACTAAATCTTATACTATATCTGAAAACTGTAATATTCTTCTAAAGAATGTCATCAAGGATAAAACTTTTTTATTTTAGACCATGTTGCGCCAAATAGTCGTCATAGTCACCTCCTGAGAATCATTGGGTTTAGGAATTCGCTTCATAATTTCTTTCAAGGACTTCAAAAAAGAGACAAATTTGTCAGGTATTTTGAAAAATGAGTACAGGATACTATTTATAGGTGCCACCGCTGACAAGTTAGTTTTCTGAAGGAAACAAGAATCATACATTATTATGAAGGCTTGAATCAACATATTTCTTTTAAAATAGTCCACACTTAAAATTACTATAGGAAATATATGAATATTAATTTTTAAAGTTCTATGGAGACAAGTTATACGAACTAGTGAGGCAAAATCGAAATGATTCCAATAAAAACACGAGTGAACTGTTGTTTTCCAGCAATTGTTAAAAGCAACTTTGTGAAACCTTTATTACCTAGTGTCCGCGCTTAAGGAAGTTCTGCTTAAGATAAATAATTTACACCTGAATTCAAATGAAATGAATAAATTTTGGCTGCGTTACACACCACTACAGGACAAGGTTATAGTGAGCACCCGATAGAAAAATCCTCAGCTAAATTGAGCTAGTAAAAATTCACGCATAAAAAAACAAAAAGGATCTATGTCTTGCGTCTGAAACTGGCATTTCAAACCACCTACTGCTCCGTTCAATATTCGTTTGAAATATACAAGCTATTAAGCACTTTATAACAGATAATGACATGCTGACTGCATAAAAGGTAGGAACAAATATCATAAACAATTACAAAACACCACAACTTTAACAAAAAAGAAAACTTTGATTAGGGGTAGTTCATGAATAGAAGGGACAAAAATTTACATATACCAGGATAACCACTACAGATTATTTATATTTACTACCAAAAATTTGGTCAGCACCTGACGGAAGGTGATTAAATTGAAGTATAAAAGTCATTACAAAACTACAGTCTACAAAATATGATCTGTATAGTAATAAACACAACATTTTGACAACACTTCAAATCACTGGAATACGCATGATTCGTAGGTTGGTACCATGTATTTGATATTAATAAAAGCGTTTTCTCCACCATGCATCTCGAGTATCTGTAAAGTTTCATGAACTAAATCACCCAAGTTCTCTCGCTTCTGCTGGCTGTAGTCGATTCCATCTCCCAAATTTTTATTTTTATTTATAAAGGTATTCATGACTGGTAACAACTGTCTGTAGTAAGGTACAAGGGCTTCCCCGATCATTTCACCAGAAACAACTAAATGTTGAATAGCTTTGAGAACTGTACAGCAAACTTTATGCTGACGCAAGTTAAGCGCTGACTTTATAGGAATTATAAGCTGAGGTATTACGGGCAGTATTTTGTTTCCACCGTGCTCCAGTAGGTCATGTACACCTAAATTATTAATCAAAAATTTCTTAAACATTTACCTTGCCGGGCAAAGAATTCATATGGATGTTCAGTTTCTGCCAAACCTTCGAAAAAGAGTGGGAGGTAATGGTGATAATCCAACTTCTCGATATCAACTTTCCAAACAATTTTATTTCCCTTGCTATCATGTTCTAACGCCACAGGGAAATCTCCACGGTCATAAAATATTCTGAACTGAGTATCACATTTAAGTGGCTTGTGAGTAAAGGCTCCAGCTTTAGGCGGGGATCCAACATCTAATTTTCTCGTAAAAGCGATTGGCTTGAACGCGAAATCATTGGAAGAACTAACTTTGCTTTTTCTTTTTTCATAATTATCTCTTACATGTCCCATTGTATCGGTACCCATTTTTAAAGTGTTAACAACGCTGTTATGCTGACAACAGTAACTAAAACAAAAGGGGGAAACATTTTGTTTGGGAAACAATCTCTAAGGTGGTGGCTGGCTTTATTTTCTACAAATAAGGAAGAACCATTAAATTCGTTACAAGGCTCTTGAATATACGATCCTGTGAATTTATGGAGGTTTTTAATAATTTGCAGAACTTCTGTCAGTAAGATGCAGTCTGCAATTTTTTGAACTACTTGTGCCAAAAAATGCTACTTTTTATCTCACTTGCAGAGCTTGGTAATTGTGCTGAAAATAGAGAATATCTTGGAGGTGGTCTCCGTATCAAAAACCTACAGATACTTCCAGAACCTAGTGATTACCGTAGCTGCTTCAAGAGAAGTTTCTCGGTGAAAGTACTTGACGCAAAATCTTTGCCTTTACGTCGCTTCTAACTATGGGTTTGGTTCTTCGACAGCAAAATCACACTCCTATTTATGGAGAGAATGCATAATATATTTCATATAACCCGTGGTCAGTTTGTAGCTCCACAATCCTGATAACTGGTTTTGGTCGTCTAAAGTAAAGAATTCTCAGTTTTAAGGTACTATTTATAAATTTAACTTTAATAGATCATTCATGAACTCAAAAGCGACAACACAGGAGTGCCACTACGGATGCCTTGGTGATAGTTGCAGCAACAATTTCCTATATGTAACCCTCTCATATGAAGAGAGGTTAAGTCGACTGGGTTTATTTCCACTGTCATACAGACGACTTAGGGGTGACCTAATACTAGCATACCGTATCCTAAGAAATGATTTTGGAGTAAATTTATCTAATTTATTTCTTCCTTCTAGCACCAACCAATTGCGAGGACATCACCTCACGGTTCAAAAACCACGGTCGAATCGTCTGCGTTTGGAGATCCGTTTTTCGCATCGGTTTGTGAACCATTGGAACTCCCTACCGGAACACGTCGTATCAGCGCCATCCGTTGATTCATTCAAGGCGAGATTGGACCTCCTGTGTGTAACAAATCGAAAGGATTAACACAGGCATATAACCTACTATCCTAAATAAATTGTAAACTGTAAACTGAGGGAAAGGTAGCTCACCATTTTGTCGAGGAATTTGTGGAAAGTGACATTCTTTGATGTGATATGGCCTGCAATTAAATTCACTCAAAACGTATGCCTCAGATGTCGAATGAAGGACGCCAGCTTACAGATATCATCAGTAAGATAAGTAACATATACATATATATATATATACATATATATATACATATACAAGGAGTAAGCATCTTCACAATTATTCACCTACATAATATATACACAGAAAAGGTTATGGAGAAACTCTTCGGTGAACTGCCGGTCTTCTTTATTAATGTTCGAATGTGGAGCTTCCGTCAAGAATATTTATGCTCATAGTCCTCTGCATGAGGGACGCCAGTCTACAATCATCATCAATTGTTAACAAGTAATAAAACTTAGGCTACAATCGTAGTTAACAGGTGGTTTCCGTATATGCCTTACAATTTGAGATATTCCGCAAAGCACTATTACATGCATTCGTTTGAAATATACGGACACTTTAGATGCACTAATTGTCGGATACCTGCCAGAAGTGAGTGTATACTCAATGGTGAATAGGTTGAAGTATTTGAGTTGTCCTAAAGGGGATTGTGGATACAGTTCCGCGCCATTATGGATGTAACATCGCCTTACTCATTATAGAAAGTCGACTGTAGTTGGTGAGGTATGAAGAGAATTCATGAAATGCACATCTGTCCATGTCAGATTATAGTAAGTTATGTCCTCGTTTTCTTACATGCTGTTTCTATGTCGATTTTATTTCACTTATTCTGTCACGTAAATATTACATCAACACGTTACGTGAAGTGGAGCTTCTGAGATCGGCAGAAGACGAAAATAACTTTCACGGGAAGCATCATATCGTAAGATATCCGGCATTATAACTCTCTGTCATGCCGTTTTTAAATGTTTTGAGCTGGAAAAGTGACGAACAGACATGAGCAAGTCCATACTAGTGCAGGTCAATCATCTATTATGATATTATCATATTCCAGGTGCTATTCTAAGAGGACATGCATACATTTAATTTTGACAGTGAAACAGAGTAGCACAAAAATCCAAAAACAAAGGCCCTTGAACGGAATTGAGCGATTTTGTTAAAAGATTAAAATCAACTGAATGCTTTACTTGATCAATGGATATCTTGGGTATAAAATGTACTATCTTTGGACCAGTACGCTTTTATCACTTTTCTTATTGTACTTTTGACCATCTATCTCTACTGCGAAGGGTTTATTATTTCATCTTGTCCCGAAGATTTTCGATAGTCCAATTTTTTCACTTTTGAGGACCAATTATCGATACAGCACTTTTCAGTTATTACCATGTATATCAAGCCATTCAGTTACGCTACCTGAACGAATCCGAGGTGCTGTCTGGTTCGCTTCACAGTGCTTAACGTCCATGGTTTTCATATGACCATCTATCCTGCTAAACTTTCACTTTGGCCACACTACCCAACGACTCTCTAACCCGGTACACCTAACCTAGTAGCCATGCTGCTCTTAATACCATCTTAACTAGTGAGGGAGGAATATAATACTTGTGGCTGTCCAAGGGCATATTATTCGTGATAATAATGATGTTATATATTTCACATAAATTAAGCATTTACGTGATTGACATACCGTTTGTACAGGCATGATCATATTTGACAAGTGCAGTTTGAAATGGTACACTTTTTTGACATTCAAAATTGGAAAAATGGAAAAACACCTCTAGAAACTTTATTAGAATAGTTTACAATATATTGGTTCAAGTCTAAATTATAATCTATAATATACTTATAGTCAGTCAAATTCATGCGGGAATTACGAAACGTTGCGTTAATGGAAGGTAATAAGAGAGTTGATAAACAGGTGCTAGAGTAAGACATACAGGGTACAGGCTTTGTGATCATTATCATTTTCTCAATTAATATTGGTTGAAAAATTTATAAAACTCCGCATTAGCGGGTAAGTACAACATTATTTTGGTATTAACGGATGCAAGGGACCAACTTTGCGATGATAAACAGAATTCAGAATGGAATTTGTCCCGTTGTTCGTCATATGTGCCAACAATATTCTGAATAACGGTCAAGTAATACAAACGTAGAAAGCAGCATTACTGTTCATTTGTCGTGCATCAATGCAATACCTTCGAGAAGAGAAGAAAGAATAAAACAGAAAGAGAGGTGAAGAGGGAGCCAGCAAATAATAATAATTTAAGCAAACAATATGCGACAAACGCAGGGTTTATTCCCCTTTTTTGTTACTAAGAATTTAGAGTCATTGAGTTTTATAGTGTTACATACTAACAGTTAGTGCAAGTTTGTGGTAGTAAACAACAACAAAAAATATAGAATAACAAATTAAAAAAATATATAAGGGCAAAACGAATAGTGATTTTCACACCCATGTCGGGTAATGGGAATAGAAATTGGGGAAGCTAAATCCGAAAACACGCGGTACGTTCAACGTTTAAATTACATTTTAGCTTGAATCGCTATATATTTCTATTTTCACTGTGAGACTCGCACAAGTGTTTCTCCAGTTCCATAACTGTAACCAATAACTCTTTCACTAATTAGTTATGGTTAGTCATAACTTACGTGGTACGTCCAACGTTTGCGTTACATTTTTGCGTGATTCGTTACATAAAATTTATCTTGTTGTAATCCTTGCACAAGTACTCTACTACCTCCATACCTATAACTATTAAATCTCATATCAAATGGTTATGGTTAACCAACGAACTCAATCCCCTGTAAATCTGATGACTAGTTTTAAGTCGTTGATTGCTACATCAAGCTACACACTCCCTACAAATGGTTATAGTGAGCCACATAACTCACTAATATGTCGTGAGCGTCGAGCTGAAACTGAGGATAAAACTGTACTGACAGCTAGTATTAGCACTACTCCCAAAAATTCAGTACCCTCTGCTCATACAGAAACCCTCCCTTCACCTTATGTACTTATCGAAAAACTCCAGTCTTCAATCTCTGTTTCAGTACTATCTTCAGAAATAGAACTTCTAAAGTTGTCTATAGGAGAACTTAAGGCCGAGTTAAGAGAAATAAAAAACAATAAGTCAGTAAATCCTGGAATTTCTGAAACCAATATCAAAATATCCAATTTGTCAGATCAGATCAGCGATATCAGATCGCAGGTCTGTGAACTGACACCTTTAACTATTCTCATGAAAACTGTAGACCTTAACAAACTTGGCACAGAATCGGTATCTAAGGGGGATAACCTCATTAACTTTGTTACTACAGAAGTAACAAAACGACTCGATGCTAAACTAAATGCTATTGTCTACAACGTTCCGGACAATGAGGCATTAAAAAGGGTTCAGCGCATCTTACTTAGTGAGGCGAAAATGCCCAACTCCAAGACTAAGTGCTACAGGCTGAAGAGGAGTCAACATGAAAAGTGTTGTCCTATTCGTTTTCAGTTCGAAACACCGGCAGAGGCCAGAAAATTCATCCACTCCCAACATACCCTATCGGAAGCCAGAAATTACAAACTAATAAAGGTTGCTGTGGACAAGACAGTCACAGAAAGGCGCGTATATAATTATCTCACTGAGTCTAATTGTGGAATAAACAATAGGATATTGCGAGCAGCCATTTTACCCAACCCTTTGAGAGATACCGTAGAATCCACCGCACCACCCCTCTCAAACCACACAGAATTATCCTCTCAGAGAGCGACATTAACCGAAAGGCCACTAAATTGTAACCAAATAGCCAATAAAACTATACCACCTATCACCGTAGATGTAGACATGTCACCAAATAATCCCGGAAAAAATGTCAAAATCCCCCAAAAGTCGACCCTGTCCTCTCCTAGCCATAAGTTCATTGGTAAAAAAGGAGAATATGACCCCAAATCATGCCGAAAACAACATTGGCAGTATAAATAAGCCCACATTCCCCACGGTCAATAGTATTATCACTCACAAC